TTCGCTTCCCATTAAAAAGAAGAAGAAAGGTGAATGTTTTGGATTGTCTTGAATACTTCATGTTTATAATCATGGTCCAGCAGGTTAGAGTTACTATTTTAGTCGCAATTTTAAAGAGGATATTTTTACACCCAGTGATTAAATTCAAGGGAATGTTTACAAACTGGAACCTGCTTTAGTGAATCCTGACCAGGACAATCACAGATTCCTAATGATTACCTAACAGTCACAGTCACCTACAGATTAGTTTTTGCTGATGGGAAATTTATTTGGGATTCTAGAAAAACAAGGAATGTATCAGAGCAAGCATGCAGTAGTCCACCTACTATAAACATGTTTTAACAGTCCTCCAAGTCTCAGTTATAAAAGTTACAAGAGAGGGGAATTCAGTATGATTTTGTGAGTTAATTCTATAACTTAATGAGTATAAATCACTTTTAAATAAAGCTGTCAATTATTTCATTGTACCTGAATTTAACATTTATTTTATAAATGGTTATGCTGCATATTAAATTATCATAAAAATGTATTTTTTCGTTACCTTTTTGTTTTACTAGAATGGTAGATTTACAACCCTCCCATAGCCTGTTAAGTTACAAAGGCTATTCTCATGCACCTTATTAGGTAGACTGAATTTTGGATTTACTTGTTAACTTGAGATTTGTGACTCTTGATTTAACACAACTTACATACCAGATGAAACCAAAGGAACTTTCAATCAGGTGTTTTTATTCTGTATATTTTCAGTTAAAAAATAAATGCAATTCAATTAAGGGACGAATAAGATATTATGCAAAACTATTTTATTTACAAAACAAATGGCACAGTGTGACTGTACAGTAAATGCACATGCACACCCAAGACATGTCAAGGGAGTTTCTTCCATAAAATCCTGTTCCGGTCAGACAGTGACAGACATTTCAGGCAAAATTCACAACCAAGTTTCTTACTGAGGGGAGCAAATATTGCTCAAGAGCAACAAGGGATCGTTACTTTTAAGGCCATTTTAAGAAGTCTGGATGAAATGTAAACCAGCAGCAGGTCTTTGCAAATCAATGTCACTAAAATGAATAAAAATACAAGAGGCTACCATAGTGTTTGTGAACTAATCTTAAGAATCAAACAGCTCCACTGAGAGAGGAATAGACGAACACTGCAGGATAGAAATTTGAAAAACAAAGCAGGATTACTTAACTTTTTTTTTTTAACAGACATAAGAGCAGGTTAATACTCAAATGTGTCAAACAGAATATTGGTTTGTAAATTACACTTCTACTTCACACATACACCATTGCAAACAGCGGTCATGGTTTCTTTGTCTATGGTCATAAATCATCAGAATTTCCTGCCTCTGTAATTATAGTTAACATCGTTGATAAGGATCTATGGTGATGACAAAAAGATCCTTTCTTCTCTTCAGCTGCTGTTAGTCAATTTGCATAGAGGCATTTATTCTTGCATGTGAAAATGTTCCATGAAAATAGGAAAGCACTAACAACCATTGTTTTGTACAAATCTGCTATAATGGTCAGGGAAGTTGTCACTCTTAAAACTTTTTTTTTTTTTTTTTTTTTAACTTGAGAGATTTTCAGCTTCTACATCGTTGGACTGCACTCAATGACAATTCAATGCATGACAGTTGCGCATTTTTTTTTTTTCATGCATCTGGCTTGATACATAACTTGTTCTTAGAGAATACATACAGAGGTGGAAAAAAATAAACAAAAATGTAAACAGCAGGTGGATGTGAAGTTGGAATGGTAAGAAAACGGTAAATATAAAATCCTCAACCAGCCAGTTTGCTGGCCACGATTGAAGTTTTTCTTTGAGGCAGGTCCTGAGGCGTTGGGATGTGCCCGCCAGTGATCTCAGTCTTCTCCGCGGGTGCCGATGGCAACTGCTTGTTCTTCATTTTTGCCTTGGCCATGTTGTAGTCACCGGAGTCGAAATACTTTTGCTGGGGAAAAACAAGAAACACCAAAAAGTTACAAAATGTTTTTTTATATTCTGCTTTTTAAATGACTAATTGGACAAAGTTGGATGTGAAACGTACTCCCTTCTGAATTCTTTTTCTGAGGAGGTCTGAGCCTCCTCCAGGCTTGGCTCCAAGGTTAGGATACCTCGCCTTCAGCTTGACTTCCTCTGCTTTCTCTGGACTGATCACTTTGTCCTCCATCTCCTGTGAAAAGACAACACAGTTTGTAGGCAACAAAAATCACACACGGCCCTTTTAATCTAGAGTAAAACTGACACTTCATTCAACTGTATTCCACATTATGTTTCATAATAGGCAGACTCCGCCATGATACTCACAAAGGTTTGTTTGTGTAACATTTATCTTTATGTTTGGTATTATTCACCTACAGCATCGACCAGATGTCAATCAAACAACACGGGATTTTGGCAACCCACTCCCTGGGTTGTGCACTGCAGTGTTCCTTGTTTAGGTTTCCCAGTATGCACCATTGCTGATAACATTTAGCTCATGGTTGCTACATGCTAACTAGCTTGCAAGCTAATCTATTACATTCGACGAGCTAGCACTGACGGCTAACTCGTACACACTTTCTATGTCGTTGTTCGTTTTCTTTTCTTTTTTACCTGCACCTCTTCTGAAGATGTCGTTCCTTGAACCTCCTCAGACATCGCTTGGTGATTCCCTGCTCTGTTCGCAAAAAAAGGAAAACTAGTCGTACTTGTCCAACGAGCTTCTCTAGGTGATGAGATGAGGAGCGACCGGGAGCGACGAGGCGGGCGAGAAGAATCCCGTCATGCAGCCTGTCCAGCAACAGGCCGGTGAATCGATGCCAGATGAGAGAGCGAGTTCAGATCGTCACGCGAAGGTGTGTCGAGTGTCGAGCCGCAGCGATCTACTAATGTTTATTTGTATAGCACATTTAAAAAAAACAGCTTCATCTGACCAAAGTGCTTTACAGGCAATGCGTAAAAGCAAGAAATAAAATGAATAATCTATATCTATACATATATATATATATATATATATATACACATATATACATGGATACGGCTTTGAATAAAACTTTGAATATATGGAATAAAACTTTTAATATATGGAATGAAACTTTGAATATATGGAATGAAACTTTGAATATATGGAATGAAACTTTGAATATATTGAATGAAACTTTGAATATATGGAATGAAACTTTGAATATATGGAATGAAACTTTGAATATATTGAATGGAGGTCCGTAGTGTTATTTCAGCTTCCATCTCAGTAAGAGACTAAAAGAATCCCTAAAGATGGATGCACAAAGTGCGCTCAGCAATGTTTTGTTGAGCATTACTACTCATAAGCAGTAAAAGTGTTCCAATAATTAAACTATGATCTTCAAGGTGACGCAATTTACATTCTAATTTATTCATATGATTTTGAGTACACCCAGCAACTTTTCAAAAAAGTTTTGACGGTCAACAAAGTATTGGTATATAGCTGATGTCATTTTGCAAAACCAGCATATTCAGCAGGGTGTCTTTTGGATGACAACAATGAAACTGGTGGATTTGGAGAATTTAAATCAGCTTCAATTCCATATAATCGAAGTTTAATTCAATATATTCAAAGTTTCATTCAATATATTCAAAGTTTAGTTCAATATATTCAAAGTTTCATTCCATATATTCAAAGTTTCATTCAATATATTAATTTCCTGAACGGCTTGCCATACATGGACATACACGTACATATATAATACACACACAAATATATATATATGGAGCATACATACATATCACAAACACATACATACCCTACATGCGCATGCATACATACAGATACATACCTAAGCTAAATATATGGGGTCTGTTTTAACTTGTTTTAAATGCCAGGGAAAAGAGGTGAGTTTTGATATGAACGAGTTGATTTGTCTGATGGAGGGAGGCAGTTGAGGTCACCTCATGTCTAAGATTAAAGGCTATGTATGGCTTCTTTTTGGGCGTTGGGGGCTTTTGTTGGGAGATATTACAGTGGATGGAGTGAGAAATAAGCGACATGTGGCAAAGGAGCAATAGGTCGGACTCAAATCCAGGACCACAGTCTTCTGACCAAACAACCACGAGGCCACCGGCGCCTCAGATTATAGTGTTGTATATTCACGCCCTTGCCTTTATGCCATGGAGAGAACAGAGGTCTTATCTCTGTGTTAAACTATACCACTATAAAATAAAACACGTTATTATTATTGGGCATAAAAAGTAAGATATAATTACGTTAAGGATATTTTCTGTATGAATGTGATGACTGGATGATCCTGTTCCACATGGCGCATTAACAACTACACTGTTTTTACGGTCACATTTAAAAAGAAAAAGAAAGAAAATTTTGTGGGCTCTTTTAATGTTCTCAAGCAAGACTTTTGCATTTTCTCACATTAGTTTAGCTTTACCTGACCTTGTTTGTATTGCCTCATGACACGCATCCATTACCTTGCAATATGTTCTGCATTCCACTACCATACGTTTGCATTATCTCACATTCCTTTTTTCTTCTTCTCCCACTCCTTCTGAGATAACTATCCACCCAGCCATTCCTTGTGAAACACACTAGCATATATTCGCTGAATTTTACTTGAAAGGCAGCTGATGAAGTTCTACTGCTCAACAGGACTGGTTATGTAGTTGTTTTTATGGTTATGTAGTTAGTCAAAGTCAATTTAAACAGATTCTTCTCAGTATCTCTGAAGAAAGTAGTATGGAAATCTTCAGGATGCTGCAAATTGAATCTGTGACCACCTAGTGTACTCAGGACAACATGTGTTCCATTTTTGGGTGCATCATCCCTTATTGTAATGTATTGTTGTGCAGTGTATTAAAGTGCAGCTAACTGTCTCTTCAGCAATAATGTTATTGATTCTAAAACACTTTCAGGGTTTTATCACAAAACCAAACATTTCATATAATGATAAGTAACCTAACCAACATTTAATCATCTCTTGTGTTTACACTGGTGTGTCAAATAAAATGAAACCAAGACCAAACAATTCACTTAGAGGGATTTTAATTTGTGTTGTTTTTCTGCATTTAGTTTTAACAATTTACAATGCAGCAGATAGAGTAATTTCTCTACAGCTTCAACTACCACAAACCTACTGCGATATATGTGGTTAACGGCTTCTGTATTAGAGGAAGATCTTTGTTACATCAATGCTTTCAGTCCTCATGCAGCATTTCAAAACCGAATGCATTTCCGTGTCATAATCAGCCACTTGGAAATGTAACTCTAAAGCGGAAGTACAAAATAATACAGTCAATGTGCTCACACACAAAAAGAAAAGCTTTGTTAGAAGATCAATTCTCTTCATCTCCCATGTCCACATCCTCTTGTAACTTCTGCACCATTTTGTCTTCCATTTGTTTCGCTTTTCCTGTAAAAAACAACAACGTTGGACATCAATTAAATCACAAACAACATTTAAGGACATTCATTGGGTTGTTTAATGGCCATCCCTAAATTTGGTTTTCTGCTTTCTGATAATGTTTTCCATTATTGTGTAATCATATAAATAAAAAAGTGAGAGGGGACACAGTTACGCTGACGCCCTGATTCTGTTTTCCTCTCCAACGCTTGTAGGACGAGGAATGAGAAAGGAGGGGGGTCCTACAAGGCGCTGGTGCTCGCTCTCACTCAACAGAGTTTGCTAGCTTGATTTACAAAGTGGAGATAGTGGTGTATTAACAATATCCACATCTGTGATTGAAATGTTGTGCTTTGACTTGTGTCAACTCTGGAGAAAACTTTTTTCGGCTCTCTGTGAACCGTTTGTTGAAGAGCCTTTGATCAATACAAAGCACCACAAATCCATTTGCACATCTTCAATACAAAAGCACTAGATGCCATACTGTTTGCAAGCTGAAAGTGAAATTCATACAATACAACATTTAAATCTTTAATGGATGCAGTGGACAGTGATCCTGCGTGTTGCGACGTTACGTGCGGTAATCTGGTTCAATCTGAAGACTGCCCAGTGTGTCCATTAGAACTGTAACATTTCCTTAAACATGATAACAACATTCTGCTTCATATCATTGGTAGTGGGTGACTCACCTGCATGTGGTGCTTTGATAAGGTGAATATTTTTCTTCACTTCGGTGATGGCCTCTTCTTTCTCCAACTGTTTGCCCGTCTTTAATCTATGAAAGTTCAACGGAGACAACAAAAGTGAGGCACAAAATATTCCCCAAAGACAATAACAATGTTTACACAAATCCTGTAATAACTTATACATTTCAAATAAATTGTAGCAACTAAATGAACGCAAGACTGGCTCACCTGTTCATGATAAATCTGGCCTGTCGTTTCCGTTTGATTTCTTCCACCCTCTTCATCGCTTCCACTGTAGAAATTAAACGTGACACATGACCCACCAGGTCAAAATTCAATGACAAAACATTTTGACATTAGATATTTTTGAGAACTACAGAAACTGTATACATTACCTGTCTTGTCCCAGAGCTTTCTGCTGTATTTAACCGGGGTGTTTCTGCGTTTCTCAAACTCTAAAGCATTATCCTGAAAGAAAGGATGTTTGTTTGTTTGTTTAGTCACATTCTCTCAGAATTAATATCACTGAGATAATGCTCATCAAATACCAACTCACCACTGTCAACTCCTTTCCTGATGCCTTTCTGAATGCCTTGGTCCATCTGGTTTTTCTTGGGTTACGCTTCTTCTTGAAGTTTTTGTGGCATTTTGACTTGCAGAATCTAAACGACTACATTTGTTAAAAACAGAAACATGGAAATAATTAATGTATAGTTTAAATTAGGAAGAAATAACAGGCCCTTGAAGTATCAACGAGCAGAAAACTACACAGAATTAAAAGGAGTTTGGGATTTTGGAACTATGCAGCTCAACAAAGTGGAGGAAGATATTATATTTATGAATAATAAATATATCATTTATGGCCGCATACATTTGGTGTTCATGTTATCCAGCATGAAACAAAAAAGAAACTGCAGAATAGAAATTACAAATATAATACAGAGAGGGTTTAACACAAGGGCTGCCATAACATATTCTGTCCACCAGAGAGAGCTGATGAAAAGAGAGAGAAGGAAGCGGAAGTAGGTTTATTTTCATTTTTAAAGAGAAAGAATATATTTGAATTACGAACTACAACATTACAGTATTCTAATCAATATGTTGGTGTTAATTGAAAATCTCCCACAACAGATTTGTAGCGTATATAGATTATAACAATGCTTATAAAAGGCTATATTACTTTTCCAAACATTGTTGCAGTAAGTGATTTAATTGGCTTTTTTTCTAGCGCCCCCCTGTGGACAAATAGGTACAATACACTTTATTATCCCCACTGGCAGATGTTGTCTTTGGCTCCAAGTACTGCACCCAATCATCTACCTCTACAGTACAATCAACAAATAAAAACAATAGAAAATCTATCAACATGTAAACAGAAATGCACATAACAAAGAAAACCAAAAAACACATCAACACATATTCCACATTACTAATATTGCAAGAGATCCCCCATAAAGCACAACAGAAAGCCATGACATCTTAGGTACATTGTATCTCTGTGCTGAACTCATGTTTCCTGACAAAAGAATCTCACAATACTTCCCTTTTAACCATAAATAATATTATCAACCGTGACTCTGTTGAAAAAGATATAAACAAAGTCTATTTCTGCAGCGTGCTGTTCATCACTTTGTCTGATTCTTATCCATCAGCAGTGGTCGCAGACATTAAAACTAACTATATGATAATAATATTTCAGTATTCATCCAGTTCTGGTTACTTTATTCCTGTTGTTTCTTATCCATCATTGCACTACGGTCACTTTATTTATCTCATTTTTACCTTTACAGTTATATTCTTTATACTAGTTCTGTTGTTCCATTATTCACCATGCACCTTATCATTTAGTATTTGCCTACTTGCACACAGCTCTGTATATATATATTTATTTCTCATTTACTGCACATAGTTATGGTTACATCTGTTTACATCTGTTAGTCCGATCACTGTCCACCCACATCTACTCTTTTATATTTTGTATTTTTAAGTTAAGTTTAAGCTTTAAGTTGTATTTAAATTGACACTTTATATTTAGGTTATAATGTTTCGTCTACTTGCACTGTTGTTAATTTACTGCTCTGTGTGCCTTTGAATTGCCCCCCTGGGTACAAATAAAGTTTTTTGAATTGAATTGAATTGAAATCTTATTTGCTTTAGTAGCTAATAAAGAGGCATCATTATTAAATCCAGTCCATTTCATAACCAGCTAAGAAATCCTCACATGGGCGTTTCTCAGAGTAAGGCTGGGCGATATGGACCAAAACTCATATCATGATATTGATTAGCTGAATGACGATACTCGATATATATCAATATGTATTTTATTAACAGTGAAAACACATATATAAATAAACTACCTGTTTGTGATTTAAAAAATAAAAATGTTCCTTAAATATAATCAAAGAGAGAGAGAGAGAGAGATGAGGAGCAGGGTTAAGAGAGACAGACAGTCATCATTAGTGAGATGAGGAAAAAGGTGACCTTGCACCTCTATAACATTATTTTAATGCAACTTAAACTATATCCATATTAACGATATTGTCTTACTCTATATCTTTTTTGAAAATATATCGATATATCTTAAAAACTCGATGTATTGCCCAGTCCTGTCAGATGCATCATTCCAAAAATGTAGAAAAAAAACAACACCACAACACAAAGTGCAGGTGTGCTCCCCAACCTGCCCACCAGGGGGCGCAATTACCCTACACCAAGATATAAAAGCGAGGCCCTTCTAGCTAAATGTCCGGGTTCTGTTAATTTTGTTTTTTTGTAAGACAGCGTAAAACATATCGATGACCTACATACAGTTAATCCATGTTGAACTCCACGTTGTGTAAACACTGCGTGAGATAATCGGTCTGCCAATAAAACACTGACGTTTTGTTTCAACACGTGGGCAAGCTAACGTTAGCCAACGAGCTAACGGAACAACACTTGACAAGTCATTCTGTTAGAGCTTCTGTGAAAACAACAGGTAACAGGACAGTGACATACCTTACAGTCGTTCCTTACAAACATTACTCCATGGCCGGGATACACCGGTCCCGAGCAGAAATAACATTTTTCGATGCGCATTTTCCCAGCTGAGGAAACTGTGTGTGCGTCTCTGCGTCCACAGCACCCCAAAACAAGAACCGCCCCGTTTCTTCTTCTTCTCTGGTAGCCAAAGCGACTGTCAAATGTTTGCTTCCCCCTGCTGGATGTTCTTTTTCCACACACACCAAAGTTTCTTTTATAAAAGTGTTTTAAGCTGGATATGAAACAGACTAAAATTAGTTTTGATCCCTCTTAATGAGATATCAAAAAAAAAAAAAAAAAGGCACACCATCATAAAGATCGACTATTTTCTTGTAGTTATTTTAGCCTGAAACGTAGGCGGTAGGTAGGTGTCAGACAAAGTGTGTAACAGCATGTTGCAGCTTTTTTTTAAAAACATTTTTAATGCCAAAGGTTTTCAGTCAGTGATACAGTTTACTGTTAAAAGAAAGCATGATGACTCTCGGGTTGGATGGCCCGCTTTGGCAACCCATAGGCTCATACACTGGTACACCTTTATATATAAGGCAATTATTGGTCTGCTTCCTCTATATCTATGTGTTTTTATCATGCAGAGAAGTACTGGACAGTATTCTTTGCGTTCTTAGGACCTCTTCATGCTCTCTGTCCCAAACGCTCAGACAGAAACTGGGAGAAGAGCTTTTGGGTATTCTGCACCCTCAGCCTGGAATCTGTTGCAGAATGACTTAAAGCTCAAGGAGCATGGTGTCCTTAAAGGTTTTTAAATCTAAAATGAAAGACTAATCCAAAATGTTGTGCTTTGTAAATTGTACTGTGGCTCTCTTTTTATTTCCGTCTGTAACTTTGTGTTTTTGCTGCTGCCTGTCTTGGCCAGGTTTCTCTTGAAAACTAGGTTTTTAATCTTAATGGGACCAACCTGGTTAAATAAAGGTTAAAAAATAAAAAAATGAGATTTGGATTAAAAAATACTTCTTACTTATGCACAGGACAAAATCAGCCAGAGATAAGAGGTACCACTTTGTCCTCAGGGTTTACCAAAAACAACTTCCTTACAAGAGTTTTTTGTTTTTTTTGTTAAAGATTTCAGTTTTCAAAAGATTCAGCTGAATTTGTAAAGCAGTATAATATATTTTTTATATTCATGCGTAGGATTCTGACTAATAAGGGGCACCACAAAATCTTAACGAATTTTCCAACAATGTGAGTTTCTACAGCCGTATTAAGAAGGTAACATGATCATTTAATTCAGGCTCAAAGTTTTCAATTTGAATGTATTTAGTGAACAAGTATTTAGTTAATGAATAGATAAAAAAATGTTCCTAATTAGAATATAACATTACATTAAAAGCATGGTTTGTTTTTTTCAAAAAAAAAAAAAAGTTAAAAAACAAATGTTAAAAGTCATTTGTTCAGTGGATGTATGTGAAGTTGTCATCACTGCATTAGGACACTATGATATTAATCATTCAAACAATAGTCTAGTGACCATCAGTAACCTATCACTACAGTTGAAAAACATATAGTATCCTCTGATTTGAAGAAAAACTACCGTTCTTGTAACCTGTTAAACTGTTTCATTGTCTGTAATCTCTTTTCATGTTATTGTTTCTAACATGCTGTACACCTAGCACAAAACTGGAGAACATGCATAATTAGTCACAATATTCCTTCCGGTCATTATTTGCTCACACACTCACAGACGCACACACTGATGGATCAACCCAGCACACAACACAACGTATAACACAGAATGTAGTTTTCCAAGAACAATTTTATTATCTAGTATTTGTGATCATCTTGAGTATCAAAAAAGTCTGTTGCAACATTTCAACACTTACAATCATTTTTTCTGTTGCTCTCTTTGGGATAAAAGATGTCGTTTGATATTCAAAAAGCAGAAATATCAGAAAACCATAACTTAAATAATAACATTTTAGTCTACACTGTAAAATCTACATTTGGCACCTGAGTTAAGTCAGCAAAGTCATCTGTGGCTTTCAAATTAACCTTTTATAATGATAATAATGCACTACACAGACAAACGTTGAACTTGAACGCAGACTAATCAATTTACTAAAATGGCACATTAAAACTGGGAAAACAATTTTGTTCACAACACCATGCTAAGAAGACAATGTATCCTAAGTATCAGGTGAAATCTTGTGGTGATAAAAAGACAGCAGAACTGTTTATGACATCTCAAGCTTTAAAAAAGTAAAAATGCCCCTCTAGCAATCAAAACCATTTTGAAATCATATCACATTTAAATGTAAATAATGTAAATGAAAACCAAAGAAAATCACTAAATAACAGAGACTTCAAGGTTTCTTTGGTTAGCATTATTTGTATTACAAAGATATAAAAATTGATTATGTTGCTCTTCACACATTGGGTTTCCATTTTGATAGTCAGATTCCTTCATTGTCGCACCTGGACAGGAAATCTAAGGGAGAGGGAGAGAATTCCTCCCTGTGTACAGCAATATTGGTGAACTGTAACAGATGATTCTCTGCACAAAGAATAAATATCATCATCCATCAATGGCAGGACACATTGGATCTTTGGTCTTGTGTCAATAATTTCCACCTCATGGCACCAAGGATCAACTGAATGAAAAGCCATACCCTTCTGAGGAAGCAGACAACTCTTTGGATAATAGCATCGGCATCACCGCTGCATTTAGCAATGGTCAAGAAGGCAAATGGAACACAGGCCACGAAGACTTGTGCTAAAGCTTTCACCAGAATAAAGCATCAAGAAAATTTACACTGAGAAAAGTATTCAAACCATCATTCTAAGGGAAATTTACATCATTGGTAAGGACAATATTTTGGCAACCGCACCCTCAATATACATCCATTATATTTTTGGTTGCTTTATAATATCTTTGTACTATCAAAACTCTTTGGGTACAATATTTCACGTCTTTGGATCTCATCTCTTTTAGTATTCAAAGCCCTTTTTGATATTAAGGCCAAGTTAAAGCTTTGGGTTCAATGCACTGAAAATGCCAAATCATATTTTTTGATAAAGCTCAAATAGTTTGACAATATCTAATGCACTTGTTTCTTTCACAACATACACCATTCAAAGACAACATGAAACAAAAGCTCTTTCAACCGTGAAAACAAAAGTTAAAAGAATTTTAAAATATGAGAAGCTTCAGACAAAAACACCCCAAGAGAGGTAAAAAAAAAAGAGAAAAAGACATGGCAACAAAATGTTTCACCTTGTCCCCTGAGTCTGAGATATTACTGCACCGTATGTGGTGAAAATGAGGTAGTAATGTATGTATAAAAACAGAACACAGAGGTAGATAAATCAGTCAAAAGGGCTCAAACACACCCTCTGCTCCAGTGGAAAGTAATTAAATATAATGACAATGTATCACTGTACATTTTTTGACATTCTTTTTAACATTCATCATGGGTGAGCTTTGGTTTAGGACAGACAATGCCCAACACAGACAAAAAGGTAGAAAGTTGTTAAAAAATAATGGAAATAAAATGTTATAACAAAACATTCATACATAATCCTGAGGTAGGTCCGAGGCAGAGCACGTTCCGTCTGTAGCAGCCCTTGTGCTGCAGGATACAATTGAGAGGCTCAACTCAGGAAGCCAACGCTGTAACAGGGGCTCGGCTCCGGCTGCTGGAGACAGATCAGGCCAGGTGATGTCAGGAGCAGACTGCTAGGGAAGTGCGCGGGTCAGGATGGGAGCCCTGGGAGGTTGAGCAGAGCTGGGCATCAGCAGCGGTGGAGGAGTGATGGAGGGGACGGCTCAGCCTCTCCTCATTTTCCACTTGAAAAGACTGCTTAAGCTCAGCCACAGTGGCAACATCGTCTGACCCAAAGGATTCAGGTCTGGAGCGTTGGCTGGTGGAAGGGTTGCTCATTTCTTCATTGCTTTCTTCGTTAGAGTAGTGTCCAGAGTCTCCTGTCTCTTGGCTTCCCTCGCTGCTGTGAGAGCTCTCCGAGTGAAAAGGTCCGTAGATGATCTCCCGAGACGAAGGTGGAAGGGGCGCTGCGCCTAAATGCTCATCATATCTCAGAACAGTTTTTCCAGCTTCATACAAGCTTGCTCGTCTCTCAAGCTAGGGAGATGAAAAAAAAGAATACGTTTAAATCAATGTAAAAAAAAAAGGAACCTGGCTGAAAGGAAAGACAAAAGACTAGAATAAAGTTGTGTCACTTACATCACTTTCAGATGGATTCTCCCTCTGGAAGAGAAGCCATCTATTGTTTTGATTCTTGCTACAGACTGGTCCAGCACTATTTATAACCATACTGGATCCACCCTGGAGCAGAAGAAAAAATAAAGAAGGAATTTCATTTTTATAATCCTGAAACCTGCCGCTATCAGAAGACTGTTCACTCTGAATTGTTTGTCTTACCGTGGCATTAAAATAGTGTTCACGCATCATGGGTATTAGAGCCTCAACATTCTCCGCATGGCGTTCATTTGGCAGGGCCAAACCTGAACGTGGATCTTCAGTAACTCCCACAGCAATGACTTTGTGACCAGAGGATTTTCTGTCAGTCAAAAAAAGAAATCATTTTGTAATCCAAGTTGAGAAAAAAACCCACAAGTGCTTATGTTTTATATTACAACTGTTATTTGTTTCATCATTACAAATGGTTTTAACCCTTACCTTGGTCTGCCCTTACTGATGAGGATCAAGGCACACATAACAATACAGGCCAAGGCGATGCTCACACCAACAATGATCCCTGTCATAGACCTTTGGTCTATGTGGTAGAGACCATCAGATAAGACTGGAAGATAAACAACACAGAGTTACAGATTATAAATAAAATACAAATTCTACACATCTGAAGAAAGCTGGAGTCTATTTAAAGCCTCCGTAAGTTACTGTCATTTTTTGTCGATCTCTGTGGCTTCTGTGGACAAACAGTACTTGTTTTCTCTCTGCTGATCACTGTGTACTAAAAATGTTTAATCCGGCTTCCTTTTTCAAGTCTTACATAGTAAAAACACAAAACTCAACAGATTGACGCAGTCTCATATAAACAGCTTCAACGTGAGTTGAGTGCACCTCTATGTCCACGCATTTGCTCATCATCTTTGCTCTGATAGTTAAAAACTATAAACTGGTCCTAAGGCACATCTGTGTGAACTCTGATGGGTATGTTTGTTGATGGTTGAAGAGGGAGCTGCTGTTACATGCTAAGTATTAATAATCCTGAAGATTCAAAGCAATTATTATAATTTATATTTGCACCGAAGAAAGTATGAAGTCATCGTAGAAAGACCTCTCTCAGCAACGTCAACTATGACTGACTTCCAAGTCTATTCACCTGAGTACCTCCTTGATACTATAAATGGATTAAATAACACATCTTGAAGAGATGTCTCTATCATGTTTGCCCCAGAACCTTTATGATGCTTACCTGTTGGATCTGGGAAGCTGTCAGAGTGCCTGGGGTTCTTGCTGCGGTGGGCAGTTCCACGCTTTAATGCCAGCTCCACAATGTGAGAGAAAGGCCCGTCTCCAACCTGGTTTGAGGCTGAGATTTTTACCACGTAAACGTTCCCTGGCTCCAGCTTCTCCAACAGAGCCATCGTATGGCTTCCTGTAAAAAGAAGCAGGAAAACCCAGCAGAGATTAGAATTAATGAAAACTGTTACAGCCACACTAAATGTTGCATAAGGTAACCATGAAAGCTAAGGCTAAAACTTTACAGAATACACTATGCAGTGTGCTACTTACCCTCCCTCTGTAGAATTTGCCAGTGTCCAGACAGCCATGCTTTCTGGGAAGCGTACAGGATGGTATAGTGAGTAACCACCACATTGGTCTCTGTCGGCTCCCTCCAGGACACCAGAGCAGTGTCGTCCTCTATGACAGTTACTCGCACTCCTGCAGGTGGCTGGCTAGGTGCTGTACACAGAGTGACCACATTCATGAGAAACAACACTTACTGATACTGAGAAATATGCAATTATCTGAATTTTAAGATAAAATAAGTATGGAATTGAACAGAGAAACATGATCATGGCACATTTATGACAAGTATGGCCCCCTTTTATTACCTGCTGGCAGGGTCCGATGGTAAACTACAGAACTCCAGGGACTCGACATCTGGTCCACATGGAGACGCACAACAAACTCATAGCGAGTGTTTGAAATTAAGTTCTGAACCATCACACTCTGATTGGTACTGTGAACAGACAGCAATTGACATTATGAGCATTTGATAAATAATAATCCATATTCCTAAATCCTTAAATCACCATTAGAAACAGAGAATGATGAAAAAACAGAAGCCATATCAACATGGAAACATGCAGTGAAATGTGACATCATTACTTGGAGACTTTATTTTACATGCAACAACTGATTTTCTTCAGCTTTCTTCTTACATTTGTATGTAGCGTATAGCAGAGGCATTGTGAGTTCCCACAGGTGTACAACGGACTGTATAGCTAACAGTCTTTCCTGAGGGGAAAGCAGGACGGCTCCAGCGAAGAGAGACTGAAGACGAATTCTTCCCTAAGACCGTCACAAGATCAGGAGGTGGAGGAGATACTGCAGGCTGCTCTCTAGCCGCTGAGAGATAAAAAGAGAATGCATGTTTTCATCACATTTTCTATTTGACATACGTCTGTCCAATATTTTATGCAAGACATTCTTTAAATAAACCATAAATAAAAAATACTTACACACACATCCCGGAGTGCTAACTGTTTGGTCCGTTTGATAGCCTTCTCCAGCTTCACTGACAGCAAGAATCTTGACGTGATACTTTCTTCTTGGATCTGGAATTGAAAAAGAAATCCCCTTAAAACTATTACCGCACATGTTGCTAAAACTTAAATAAAAGGGATAGACAAATTGAAATTACAATAATTTCACAGAGAAGCATTTTTTTAATTCCAATAGAGGCCACATACAGTATATATTGTATTATTATTGCCACATCAAGATCATCATCAAGATGCCAAAGTGATGGTTCCCAAAAAGAACAGCATGTATTTCTTAATAAAAGGCAGACATGTTGATAGTTAACAGCAGGAGGTAAAGTGTCTGGGTCAAAACTGACCATCCCTCTTTCCCCGACAATGCATGGTCTCCTGAGTCACCCCAAACCTCTCATTTATCATGTGTTGAGTAAGGAGCAAGAGGACGATCAACCAGCACCAAGTAATGCCCACTAAATGTGGTGATACGGTCAATAAACACTATGAAAATTAATACAAAATGCCTTTCCCTTTGTGAAGGCCTACAAAGGCTTTACAACTAAGAAACCATATAAGCATAAAGTTTATTATTTATTCATTATAAATACTATACCAACAAATTGCAGAATTTAAGGTGAATAACAGAGGTGGGAAGGGCTGAAAATAGGATCTGTTTGTATTGTAAACTGAAAAAGATGTGTTATTGGACATAGAGGCTGTGTCAATAGGAGGGGTCTTGAAGTCTGGGGATGGGGAGCTTTGGTTTAAAAATATTCCATGAAACTTTTTTTTGAACTTAAAAAAAGCTAAGATTGCCTTAGCTCCTCAATCAGGACGTTTTTTTGGGAGTGTTAAGGTTTGTTTTATGTGTGCAATGTGAAAGGTCAGCCAATTGGTATTGACCAGGGAAGCCAGCGTGTCCAGGCCTGTTGTGGGGGCTGGGCCAGAGGCTGCCTTCAGCTGCCGGGATCCTAGGCCCATGGGACTGGGGGAGTTGACTAAGGTCATGAGGTCAAGCCAAGATAGAACACAAGGAATCTGGGCGCAGGACTCAGGGATAGGGGCTGGGCCCCTTTTGTTCCCTCTTTCTCGCTCTTACTGCTGGCCTTGTGCAATAGCCTTAAACTTGGAGCAACAAGGAAAGAAACATGGCTCCTAAAGAGAACTTGTGTTGACATCAGTTATATGTAATATGGGAGCAACTTATATGACTTTTCCATACAGCTGTATCATCCAAGCAGAATGGTTTTAGAATTCTAACAAGAAACTATTAGAATAACCCCACTAATCTACACAGTTAGCGCCAATCAACAAATTTCTATTACCAAAGCATTTGGGGTATGATTTGATAAGAAGCCTCACTGTGATTTATGAAACACATAGGTCAAAGTTTTTAGTATAGTTAACTGTTTTTATCACGATCATCATGGGTAAATTGCATATATATTGCTGTGGGTTGTTTACATGGACAGCACTGTAGACCTATGGGGGCAGGGATGTTATCCAGGACTGCTGTCTCACGGCTAGAGGTCAGTGGCTCAGTCCTTCTCTGGCCAATCCCAGGGGTTTTTGTTTGTATGCTCCAGTGTCCAGCTAAAGGGGGTAGTGGCCAGGGTCTTACAGGGAAAGTCTTGCCCTGAACACAACACAATGGCCAGGGGTAATTATGCAAGCTGCGAGATGGGAAACAGTGGTGGGAGGGACATCTGGACCCTGACCTCTAACCTTGGGAGCCTGATTTCACACAATACCAAAGCCAGACTGGAGAGGGCCGCTGCTTAGGCAGGAGGGGTCAGCACGTATTGATCAGGACACTGGGTGAAAATGCAAAAGCAGCATCCAACTGCCCACTGAATTAAATTGGGAAGACCCATCTGAGTGAGAACCCATCAGTCACTCTCTGTTGTCTCTAACAAAATCACAGGTTTTTTTATTTGATTTCTGTATCATATTCGGGATTTTTCTTAATATGGCTATTTGTCTCTTGTATCCCTATGTTTTTTTTTATCATCAATGTAAAGCACACTGAGCTTACCTTAAATGAGATGTGCTCTATAAATAAACTTTATATTTTATTCTACAGGTCTAGATGGTAGAAATACTCTGAAATTGTCGAATAACGATATATTTATATATATATACTGTATATATATATATGCTATATATGCTTTTTTCCCCATCTACTCCAATATAACATCATCTTTCAACCAAAAAACTTTGAGAATAGAAGTGTGCAACTCACCAAGGCCACTGATGGTGTGCGTATAGTTTTGAGCTTGCAGCTGGATGATGGGCTGCTCTGGTTGGCCCTCCTCATGGTAACACAGCCTGTAACCCTGGGCAGCCACAGATTCTTGGGAGATTTGCCAGCGTGCCACAATGGAGGTGCAGTTCAGGGGCTCAAGTTGAAGAATAGGGGCTGAAGGCACTAAGAGGTGACAGCAGGCATGTGATCAATGCACACTCATTTTTTTTAAGAGTACAGCAACAGCAACAACCACAACAACAACAACAGTACACTGGTATAGATGATACAAGGGAAAGAGATCAATGTTTTTCACGGGGTTCCACTGAAGTTTAAATTCAATGTGATAATTCTTCTGGCTGTGCTGCTCTCCATTAACTAATTTCAAACCTGAAAAACCAAATCCAGCTTTGGTGGACAAACAGCCTCCCCCAAAACACCAGGCCATCAAAAGGGGCTATTCTTTCCTCCACATAGACGCCTGAGGCCCTCTCTTTATGACCCGTGACTGAGGCCGCTCTAACATCACTGACAGCGAAGGGCAAAGGTTCCTGGGTAACCAACACAAAGACTGTGGGACAATACTACAAGAGCAAACTTAAGTCATAAGCTGGCTACTCTGCATGAGCTCGAGTGATTCTCTTGGTGTTTCAGGAGCCACAAAGCAATGATTTGACAAGATTTAAAGCACAGCATTTTAGATGTTTTGCACCATGTGATTCTATCACTCTATAGCATGTACTTGTTTTTGCTTCTTACCCTGATAAAAATGACTGCTTGACCAAAAGAATACATTCATACATGAAAACTAAGTTGCAAATGCAAAAATGAGGTGAAGAAAACCAATCTAGAACAAATGTTTCATTATATTTAAAAACTGAAAGTTTCATAAAGAATTTTATCACCAGCTCTCAAAATGTCCTTTTCATCTTTTAGCAATTTACCTTTGCTGCTGGAAATCTTAGGCGTACGGTGTGAGGTCCATGCAGAAGGCTCACACCAGCCCACACGGGTGGCTGCAGCCATGCGGAGCAAGTAGATTGTGTCAGGCTGAAGGCCCTCCAGCAGATATTCTGTGCTGTTTTGAGGTATTTCCACAGAGTTGACAGTGTTGTCCACAGCTGTACGATAAGATAGTCTGTATGCAGAAACCCGTCCGCGGCTCAGCTTGGCAGGCAGCTGCTGCCAGCTCACCTGGATATCTGTGGAGCTGTGGCTGGTCAGACCAAGCTCTGGGGTACGCAAAGGCACTGCAGAAAGATAGAAATAAAACTCATTCACTTGACTCTGATAAAACGTTGGGTTTCTTCACAATATAGAAATGTTTGCAAAAAGCAAAAGTGTTACGTTTCTATTTATTATAAACATTACATTTCTGTTAGTAAATGGAATACACACAAGTGTTTAACATCATCATGCCCATCCCACCTTTTTCTCGGAAAGTGCTCTGCACACACATCAATCGTATGCGTTTTAGCTTAACTGCCAGGGTGATTTATTGTAAGGAATGCAGGGAGTCTCAATGCTCTGTGCTTACCATCCTCCAGGGTATGTTGACTGACTTGGTCTGACATACGACTGGCTCCCATTGGCATATAGGCCACAATGTAAAAGCTGTAGTTTCGAGCTGGCTCAAGGTCGTCGACGATATAACTGGTTGTGTCGTTTCCAATAACAACTTGGTATTCTTCGTTGTTCAGACCTGACATTCAACAGATAATAAAGTAAGTAGGTTACATTTGTCCCAGAAAAAAGAAACATCTATGACAGGTTGTCAACATGTAGCATGTAAACAGTTAGTATTTCAAACGGCTTGATGCTTGCAGTTTCTGAATGATGCTCATCAGGCTTAAAAGGCCACTCAAGAAAACCTTATTTAAACATTAAAATATGTTCACTATAAGTGCAGACTTGGAATAAATATAATTAATTTACAATCAATTTAATGGATAAAGTTTAATATCTCCTACAACCCTGGTTTGAACCTGGGTTAGAGCTTTAAAAACGCTGCCCTGTCCCTTTAACTACAAGAAGAATGAGCTGCAGAGCGGACAATGGATTTGCAAAGCCCGTTGTTATTTCAGTGAAGTTGCCATTCCGAATCCTCCTTGACCTCTGCTCTGTGCAGCAACAACAGATGGCCTTCACTAAGGAAAGTTGATCACGTGTGAGCGCACAGGGTAGATTATTGTTGTTGACGGTCATCTTGTATCTTTTCTCACCTTCATCCTCCAAGCTGAGCTGTTAAAACCAAACATAAACCTTGAAACATAACTCAAAAGTGAATCTTCTTTGTCTCACCTTCAGCTTTCATATAATGGATGGAGTAGGCGATGACTTTGTCTGCATTGTAGAGAGGTCTCTGCCAGGCCAGTAGGATAGCAGAGCTTGAGATGGTCTCAGCATGGATATTTCTTGGTGCACTTGGCCTGTCCTCGGACATGACAACAATAAGGCGCGCCAAGGACAGCACAGAACCCTGTTCACTCTCTGCCATGCACTGATAGATGGCATCATCCTCAGGGATGATCTGGGTGATCACCAATTTACTGCAAAACAACAAATACAATATTTATAATAGTAAATATTACATTGAATTTGATTAAGAAAGTGTTTTTTTCCCCTGTGTGACAATACCTGTTGTACATCTTAATCCTCCCATTTAAGTGAACTTCTTCTCCATTCTTCAGCCAGCTGATGCGTGGCGTGGGCACTCCCTCTGCCTGGCACATAAACCGGGCAGTCCCTGCTCTTGGACGGGTCTGGCTTTCAGGCTTCTCAACAATAGATGGTGGCACTAAAAACATGGGCGTAGGATAAAAGTAATAAATAACTATTGCCCAACATTTCTGCCAACAAACACTAATAGTATTTAATCTTATATCAACTCTTTCAAACATACACTTTGAACGTAAAAGTTTTTGTTTTCGTTGTGGTGTAGCACATGGAATACAAGACACAGTAGGAGAAATAGTCTGTGATGTAATGCAGTTTAATCACTTAAGGGTTTACTATACCTAGAACTGTGAGGTTGGCTGCAGCAATAGTGAAGTTGCGTGTTCCAGGGGTGGTGGCCCTGCAGAGGTAGACTCCATTGTGCTTGGCATTGACATCAGTAATAACAAGGTTCCCATTGCCCAGCACTTTGGCATTGTACACATCAATGGGTTTACTGTCAGCTCTGCTCCAGGAGATGATGGGCCAGGGATTCCCTGTTGCCACACACTCCAACACTACAGTTTGATGGAGAGAAACTGTGACATTCTGAGGTCCAGCTATGATTCTGGGCCTTTGCCGTGGTTTCAGGCCAACACCTTTAAAAGACAGGAAATATGTTAGGAAAATAAAATCTCTGTTCCATATATGATTTGGTCTGTTCACGCTGAGTCCTTAAATGAAGTCTCTGTACCTTGGTTGACTGTCAGCTTTGCCTCTCGACTCTTCAAACGGCTACCAATGTTAGTAGCCACACACCGATACAGTCCAGCATCTCCCAACTGTACATTTTGGATCTGAAGAACTCCATTGGGCAGAACCGTTATTCTGAGAACATAGAAAAGGCAACTTGAGGGTCAAACTAGAAGGTGTATTTGGACTGGGGAGGTTTTTTGGAGCTGCTGCTGCTGCTGCAACAGGGCTGTGTAAAAAACACTGATTCATCAATGCATTGAAATTCATTTTTTCCCAATTCAATATCGATTCATAAAAGCCTAAAACCGTTTATTTCTGTTGTAACGAAGCCCCACTCCTGTTGTGGCACTATGGGTGATGCTGTGCTGTGATTTGCTACAGAGGCCCCACTTGACTAAACAAGGTCTGTTGTTTATTTAACAAAATGGCGACAGCGGCGGGTAGTCATGTAAAGTCTGCACCTACAGCTGACACATTTTGAATTCAGATGTAAAACTACGCAATCACTTGAGTGGACACTACACAGAGGCTGTGCAGCCTGTGGCACTTTACACGTACTTTACTTGTTTCCATGTAATTACAACACAGTAATGTTTATTATTTATGTGCTGCAAACTCAGCTTAGGCACAGTTGTGCAATTTAGAGCACACTGTACTTTAATGTTTTATTCTTTGTTTATTAAAGACTAATTCAAGAGTGAAATACGTTTTGTGTACACTTTGTCAGGTTGTTCTAAAACAATACAAATAATGTACACATTAGTATTTAAAAAATATCAGAAGGCACTGTCATGACTTATCAGGGTATTTCTGTCATCTATTCGTATTAATGAATCAATATCGAAGCATTTTGATCAAATGATACCGATTCAAAGTGTGATCCAAAGAATCAAAATTAAATTGAATTGTGACGTTCTAGAAAAAACAAAGCTCTACTACTACTTCATCATCAATACATATTACACATAAGTGGATTGAATGGGGACTATAAGATGGTATCAAACGTTACTCAAGGTGTGTCTGTGGGTACCTGTCTGTTTGTAGTGGTAATGTGCTTTGGTTGAGCTCCCAGGTGATGGTGGCAGGAGGGCTGGACATGGCTGCACAGGAGAATCGGGCCACAGAGCCCTCAGTCACCACCATAGGCACAGGGTGCAACATAAACTCTGAGATACCTGGGAAGAAAATAATAATTCATCATCAGAAGAAGAACCTTTCAACCAAAAGCGGAAACGTGTCAAATCAATTGAGATTTATTTTTGGTAGTAGGCTCATTTTACAGTTATTTTGTTTCTTGCTAAATAGAGCTTTTTCTTTCACCTTTGGTTAAAAATCATACATTATTCATGCAAATCTCAGATTTTGATGGATGTCAACTGATTGTATGAAATGAATTGATCTCTGTAAAAGACAATGATCTTCCTTTTGTGCAGATGAGCAAGCAATCAGAGTCCATACTGACCAGCTGGGCCAATCAATGGATCAATTGAAGAATGACACTGAATGATGCATTGTTATAGATAAATAAAAAACCCAATCAATTCACTTTGCATAACATGGAGTACAAGCAGAAACTAGGAATATAAGAATGTCCAAAACAAAGTTTAAGATAAATGTTATTGTATTTCATGTTGAGGCCAGGAATTACCTTAATTCAGTCAACTATGGTATTTTGTAAGTGTCATGGTTTACCGCTGTGCATAATGACCTGAACCCTACTTTGTAGAAACTAAGGGGGTCTATACTTGTTTTGTTGTGCCTCATACAACCCTGCATATGTTACTGAGTCACATTATGTTACTGCATTCAAAAGGTCTTTCAAAAATTACAGCAAATAACCAACTCACAATCTGCATTTATCTTATGACAAGACCAATGACCTTCATTCATAAAGGTTATAACTCTCTCCCTCCCCCGCTTACTCACAGGAAGGAAGTCAATATCATGTTAAAGAAAATCAATACCCTGTTGTCCCACTGAAACATCAAATTTAAATCCTGAGCCCTGGGAGATACTAACTAAAGAGCAATCCTTTAATTCAAAACCAAATCTCATCAATATCACAAAAATAAACTGTCAGCCCTTCTTAAGTGAATCACATCACAGGGTTTGAAGCAGGCAGAAAAAAATGATGTAGTTGGTCATATGAATTATTCCTCAAAAATGGCATTAAGTAAAGTTTAGCTGTAGAGCAGGACAACAAAATCCAATGCAAAAATATTAAATACAACTTCAATTATGTTTATCATTAAGTGTGGAATTATCCACCTTGTCTGTCTATGGACAACATGGCTGATGAGTGATGGCAAGCATCCTGGGCCCTCAGGGCCTGGTAAGAAGTTAAAAACATTATGTTGTTTTCTCGTCACAGAGAAATAACAGACGTTCTTCACTCTTGCTTGGATCAGTGATGCAGCTGGATGGTGTGGCCTGCAAAGACTGAGCTGCTAATATGGTCACCTCTGTTGTAAAGAACAAATCAATGTCTAGGTCAAACAGCACAAAGGTTTCCCTAAAGAGGTCAAAGTTCGCTTCAGCCCCCTGTCCATTGAATTTTAGCCCAAACTGGGAGCCAAAGTCAGACTACCATTACTTTGGAAAAGAGAACATTGTAATTGTTTTGTAATGTATTTTTAATCCTTTATCAAATTCTACTGTCAGGATTAAAAACAAAATCAAAGCACCTTTGCGCTGGTTTATAAAAAAAAATTAAAAAAAGTTTGGGAAACATTTGTGATATCTGACAACCTCTGTGAATACAAGAGGTGCAGAAACTGTTGATGTAGTCCTAGAACTAAAAGCAAAAATACTTCCATAGTGTAAACAGGCTTAGAAAGGTTCATCACTGTTCACTGAAATATTAGGTTTGTACGTTCACATGACCTGGCCTGGCCTTTCCTTAACAAAAGGGCTCTGCCTGACAGGGCAACAGAGGGTTGGAACCAGTGAAAGGGATTCTGGGATGGGGGACAGAACAGCAGGGCAGCCCAGCCAGAGCAGGCCTGTGACATCACAAAGCCTTTCCCCACTGACCCCTGACCCCCTGGACCTATGGACAGAAGGGGAGCACAGAAGAGGCCCATCCTCCACTCCCTGCCTACAGCTGACCCAAAACCTTTAACCCTTTCACTGACAAAGGCTGGACACCAGTCCAGACTTAACTTTTGAGGGTTTTTGTATAGTTCTTTTATGGGAAACATTTAATTTAGATATAACTGCTACAATATTTTGAAGAGTTGGTGTACCTATAGGCCTAAAAATGCTTTCCTGTTTTTGTTTTTTTTACGTCTTTCTTTCGGACAGTTGTATCTAGTGCTTCAAATTGAAGTACCCCTGATTTTTGGGACATGTTGCCCAAAATGTTTTACCATCAGAGTCAATGTCAGTGTCAAAATCACTATATTTCAGAAAGCCGTTTTAGTTTCCATGACACCACTCACGGGATATTCCTTCTAAGACCTGTGAAACGTGTCCACGGAAGAGCGGGCCCATTGAATAGAGACAGCTGCTCTGTCCACTGATATGTGGACAAACAAATGCCCTGAAAACGTAGCCTTTTCTTCTGGGGCGGTCAGTGTTACTCCAAACAAAGGCTAAAAGCCAAATGGCCTTTCAGAGATTCCTCTATGTGGCAGACCATTCAGCAATTACACAGAGCCACAGTCTGCAGTTACAATGCAATGTTACTAACATACAAGAGAGAGAGAAGGCTAATTTCTAACTTTTAGCCAGAATTCCCTGATTACTTTTATACATGTCCAAGAGGTACTTTCTCTTAAAACATGTAAGTGATATACTCAGGACCCAGGGTTGCCTATTATTGGAGTATTTATGAGCGTTTAGATTGACTCTCCGTGTATTTTTAACTGTCTCTTAAAATGATCCCATAGCTGGGCTGACAGCTTTAAACTCAAGCATGGCTAAGTCTGCACAACTTCCAATTACATGGAAACCCAGACTTAAGAGGTTTTTCCTTAGTAAAGGGAAAAAGTGGGGAGGGGTACATCTGCTTCCCATCTCCAGGTTAATAACCCATGAACTTGCCATCCTGCATGTTGACACCACAAAGTGTATACCACCAACAAGCTTAACTTCTCCTCATCTTGGTCCCAACAGTGGACAACGTAGATAAAGTTCTCATCAACCCTTAGGAACGTATTTCACTCTGAGCGTTATACTTACTTGCGATAGTAAGACGTGATCTTTGGCTTAGGATAGCTCCATATTTGTTTTGTGACAGGCACTGGTAGAATCCCTCGTCTGATTCCTCCTTGGTATGCTTTATCTTTGGTATGTACAAGGAGCCATTTGACAGAAACTGGATGTGCTCACTTTCTGCCAAATGAACTCCATTCTTTAGCCACTTGATGGTGACTGGAGGCAGCCCATGAGCCTGACAGTCCAAGACAGCAGGGTCCTTTGGTAGTGCAGTAACATCACTGGGCTCTGTGATGAAGGACAACTCACTGAAACATAAAACACCTACAAGAAGAAAAAAGAAGAAGAAGGGAATATCAGTAAACACTTGTTTTTCTACCTTATTTTTTGCATGAATACAGCTGCACAACACTGTCTATACAAACTGACAGATCACACCTATAATTGAAATAGCCTATGTGGAAACACAATTATTTAAAAGGGGCCACACCATTCAGAATGATGGTGTTGACTAACAATATATCATTAAGAGAAACAAGTCATGCCCTAACAAATAGGTAAAGCAGCTATAACCATGTAGGTTGTTTTCAATGTTGGACATAGGCTGCGTTGAGTAAGCGACGTTATGAGTTAACGTTTGACAGGGAAATTACACAGTTAAAAAGTTGAGTATGCATTTTAATCTAAATAAATAAATCTAAGTAAACCAGAAAACATTCGTTTTTAAAGTCGATTAATGTAGCCTATTTTATGCATTGAGGTAAAATCTAACAACGCAGTTCATCGACATTAATCAGCGGTCAGTCAATCAAGTCAGCACACTTAACCTATTAATGAAATATCCAGCACCAAAACAAGACACTTACTTGAGAAAGGAAGAAACAAAACAAAAAGCAACCAGTGCTGGTGGACTTTCATCTTAAACTTCGCCATTTATCCGGACTGGTGTGTCATTTTCTCCCTCCGCGAACCGCCGCTCTCCTGCGTGCTGTCCGTATATCCTCAAACTCTCTTCTGCCAGCGACGGAGGACCGACGGCTCAACTGGGGTGCCGGGGAGCCTGTGACGCATGCGCAGACGGCTCAAGCTACAAGCGTGTGTGGTTTTGTCTCACTGAGGTGTAGGGGACCCCAGGGGCCCTCAGGAGGTACTGCCACTGTAAAGAGTATACTGTGTTGCTTCCTTTCAATTATTTATGGTAAAATATATAACGAACCTTTCAAAATGGTTCTCTTCATTAAGAGAAAAAACGTTACCAAAAAAAATAAAACTTCTGGTCTTAATTACTCAGGCTTTCTAGTCCAGTTTCCACAAGTGCTTAATTTCATTGTAAAGATTCTAAACACCTGCTCTGATCTCTATTTTTCAGTAAGAGCTCTTATCTATATAGTTGTCACCCTGGTCTCCACAATTTCTTTTGTACCTATTTCATCAACATGTACCACATTTTCCGTTCAACAAGTTGAGAGTTTCTGTTTTTTTCCAGCCGAACAGTTTAAACACTAAATAAAGCTGAAATGCACATTTCAAGCTCTGGCCTGGTCTTAAGGCCACATCTGTACCTATAGTCATTTTAAACAGCAAGTCAAGTATGTTGATGACAAGTCATCAGTAATATACCACTGCTTTCCCATGTAGCAACCTAGCCTTATAATTAGATCTTCTTTCCTGTGCATAGGAAATCTGAGAGCACGGAACAAGATGAACACTGAATTATCAGTTTACCAATGGCCACTGGAAATAAGGTCATACTGAACAGCATCTGTTTCTACAGCAGAACCTGGTAATTATGAAGAGTTAGGCTATTGATGACTGCAAGTCAGCTGCCTAATGAATTCAAATATTGATCCAGCGACCGTGCCTTTTGACAATGACCCTCCCCTCTCTCAGCCGTCATTCAATGGCAACACAAAAGGGTCCAGCTGTGAGATCAGCAATGCTGTATCAGTGAAACAGCTATCCATGGGTTTAGGTAGTCATCACTTCTGACTGGAGTGTTTGCTTTCCCTTCCAAAAGATAGAATCGAACTCTCATTTTGGACAATATCTATAAATGTGTGTGTAATGATTTTAAGGATTACTGCCACAAATATGCACTTCTATTCTTCGATATCCAATCAAATGGGGGGGGGGGGTGTCAGTGTAATTATGTATTGATTAGAACCAACTATTGATTTAATCATATAAAGCATTACAGTTGTAATTTAAGGCTCAAAACCCTTGCTTAGATTAATTGCATCACATCATGTGTTAGGCTCACTAGTTTGGAATTTTATATTCTTCTATTTCTAAATCAGTTTAGAAAGAAACAGTCATATTCTACTTAATTGGTCACTGATGCTTTTAAACAAGTGAACTGACATTAGGTGCTTCAGAAAACAGTTACTGACATCATCAGTTTGATTAGAAAAAAAAATGTAACATAGGTTTTTTTTAAAATGTGTTTTACCCTCAAACACTAAATTTGATTACTTGAGTTGTGAAGGGATGGTAGAATATACAATCTGATCTACCTAACTGTATCCATAGTTTACCTACTCTGGATATTGATAAGTTGTATAACACAAAACATGTTTCTGTATTAGTCGTGAAATCTGTCAACTCATGTTGCCAAATGCTTTGGTGTGTAGGTGGAGGTTACCTCCGGGCTCCACATGGCTAAAGGTTAGCCTGTTTGGCCTTGATCAATAGGGTTAAGGTCATTAACATGTTATGAATATGAGGAGGCCCTGGGAAAGCAGAGTAGACGAGGAACAAACTGGGCTCTGATTGGCTGGAGCTTGTCACTAGGAGAGGCCACCCCCTACTGACCTTAGGGGTCATTTGAAGAGCCGATGACCTCTAACCTCTAGCCAAGAGGGTGATGGAAAGGTTTCCAGTTTACATAGATTCGTTTGATAAAAAATTAAAAGAGTGTGGTGTTTAACTTAAAGCAAATAACCATCAGTATTGTCATAATGTTTGGAGAAATCAGCATTATTATGTCACAGACTGGGACAGTCCAATCTAAACTTTGTTTAGGTCAGTCTGAGTGGAAAAAGACCCAGACTTCTTTCCTAAAATGTTGTCATTAACCGGAAACATTTTAAACACCTTATTAATTATAAGACCAATTTAAGGATTAATCCTGAAACTAACAAGTGATGATTTTGAACATGTTTCAATTAGCTGCAAATTACTATAAAACCAAAAAAAATTCAAAACCGTGGCACATTCTTTAAAAAAGTTTATTGGCTTTTAAAACCACTTTAAAAATCTCACCAGTGAGTACTTTCCATTGAAAAAAGAAACAATGCGTTTGCAATATTAACAAGCTACTGTACATTAAGCAGTACACCAGACAACACCACAGAGGAGGGTTTTTTTCTACTGATAGAAATGGACAAGATAGTCAACAGAGTTGGTTCTGGGTCAGTCAAAGGTAAAGAATCAGAGTCACTGCTTGATGGAGCTCCTGTACTCATAAAGAGGTGCATTTCCTTCATTCAGATTCAAATATCAGTGCCTTATTGTTAAAGAAAAAAATTAAGAAGTTTCTTCACAAATGCATTTTGCAAAAGAAGAATATGAAAAATAAAAAAATAAAAAACAGTCGACATTACATAAGGAACAACATTAACTTAGTAAACAGAACACAACAAAAGTAACGTAACTTGTGAAACTAGCACTGCCAGTCTGGTTAACAGAACCTGCCCAAATCACAGATGACAGTGGTTACCAAGAATACAAAGTACAACAGAAGTAATCACACATGCGTGCGTACAATCATTTATCAACATAATGAGCATGTTGGTTTTAAAAGGTTGCTTATCTTTTTTCCCTCAATGCTTTTTATTCTCATGTATGAGAATGAGTAAGAAATGTGTATCTCACTGAGATTAATGCACATTTTGCTACAAGACAATTAGTCATTTCCTTAATTTCCCTACTCATCTTGTCATAAAAAATATTTTTTTTCATTTTTGTGGGCATCCATCATTACATTTGTCCATAAAGATATGGCAAAGCCATGTGTCGTAAAAATTTAGTGCAATAATGTGAACCTCCAAAGTTTGTTGAAACATGAGTAATTGTTTTTTTTCCAGTGTCTGCTGAAAGGCTTTGAGCACAATGTCTGTCACAGAGATGTTTGCAACCAGCTAACAGTATCACAACTTTTTTTCTCAATATACCATGCTATTGATCCTGCTCAAAGCACACATCACTTCTGCAACTGCAGAGACCTATTATCTTTGAATAGAAAAAACATAAAATAAAATCAGCAAGCGAGACCAGACAGCATTACTTTTACGACACATTGAGCCAGAAATGTAACACACAACATACAGTATCTTGCCGACTATAGATCTGTTAAGCTTTTTTTCTTTTAAATGGCACATACTTAGCTAGAATAATGGCCATAATATAGTGTCTTGATACATCAAATCTCTATGGATCTATCCTATTTACAGATGGAGCTTAAACATGACTTATACAACATTGACAATAGCCAAAAACTCAAGCAAGCATCCTACTGTATTACACAGCCTACCTGGCTAGCAGTGATGGTTTCAACATGCTTTCAGGTCCATTGTTACCTATAAAACATAGGACAGTGACCATTTCACTAATTTACATACTGTACATAAGATTTATGCAACTTAATTGTTTTTGTCAAATGCAATAAAACTCTTTTATATCTCCAAGGCTGCCCGTTTCCCGTTGCTGTTCATGTTAACTAGGAGTGTCTCTATGTGTAGTAATCTCTTATGTTTTAAAACAGAGCATCTTTGGTATGGAAATAAGGCTGGATTCTTAACGAACAACATCATTTTCTCTTGATCTCATGATGACATCAAAACATGAATGTCAGCCTCTGGCCTTCTTAATAACTAAGCCTTCTCCATACTATTGATATTCGTATCCAAGCTGGGAGTATACAGCATGCCAAAAAAAAAAAATCTCATGACTAAGAGTGTGCCTGTCATGGTTCTCATGAAATGACTATCAAATTCCTCTAAATCCATCACTGTTAAGGGCACACAGTGTAGTCTTGAACCTATACAATACATCTCTATATTGTAACACTGCAAAACAAAAACAATAAGAAATAGTACTGAAAACATCAGAGTAACAGCTGCCTTGATATGATAAAAGGTCTGGATGGTTCCGAAGATTCTCAACATTTTACTATATACAGTCTCTCTAAAGATGGCGTAAGGCCTTGGACTTTGGGAATAAGGCAGCCAGTTGTTGATTCCTCTCGATGTATAGTCCACAAAGTGGCCTGAATTCCCATCTTGTTCCCACTGATTCATCTACTCCCTTTAAAAGATATTAAACAGTACAAGAATTATAGGCTTTAAGAAAAATTTCACTTTCGGACAATGCTCAGATGTGAATCAGTTTTCCACTGATTTGGTTTATGATAAAGTATAAAGATTATGTCATAAATTCAGCACCCGGCAGCACAAGATGCTACCCTTTTTAATATTCAGATATGGCAGGCAAATGTACTAAAACTATTATGTGCATATACTACCATCCCAGTATTGTCTCCATTTGGTTAAACTTGAACTGCACTCACTAAGATTGGTATACACCGTACATTTTTGGTCTTTTGTGCCAAATTTCCTATCCATCTCATTTGTTCATTAAATATGAATATTGCATTATTGATTGGTTATAATATGGAAGATTATGTTTCTCTTAATGACCCTCCCATACAAACCTTGCTCTTTGCAAGTGCATGCTGCCACCAAGTACTCACACTTTTGAACTTGAAATGTTTACATTTCTAATTTTAGATGAGGGAGAAAAGTGGTTACGTTCTGATCTCCAGGTAACAAATGCAAAAGGAGAGAAGTAGCTCTACGTCAGTAGGAGAGATTTTCTGGTAAGCCTGGCACTTTTAACTGAACGAATGGCAAAGTCCAGACAAATCCCAACAAAGT